AAAGCCCAGGAAAGGAGGAAGCTGAGGGCATGGGCTCTGGAGAGGTCAGACTGCAAAGGACAAGCATGCTCATGAAGGAGTTCTTGGCAATCTAACCTAAATCTTGGCAGAATTAGGTAGCACTGGGAGGTGCCAGGGTCACCAAGGCCCCAGATGTGCACCCATTAGAACACAGGAAACGGAAAGAGATGCCAAGTACAAGGGCCAGAGTCCCACTGTCAGCTTTCTGGAGGCCTGGGCGGGCCCTTCATTGATCATCCTGCCTCCATATGCTCTGCTGGCCATCTGTTCTGGTCCAGTCACATCCTCACCTGTGCCTGGTACCCCCACCCAGGCCCTGGGGAGGTGGAGCAGGAGCAGTCCCCACGGGCGCTGGGTGAGCAGGGCTCTTAAATTCTCTTCTGAACCCTTTCCTTCCGCCTGCCCGCGGTGCAGGGGACTCTGGTGCTGCCAGCTCCTGAGACCTTTGTGCAGTGTGGGTGGGGTCAGGGGAATGGCTAATGCTGGAGAGGAGGAAAATTTGACCAGCGATGTTGTTTCACACCGGCCATGCCGGTGGTAACTGCAGACTGAAATTGTGTCCATTTTATCGTGGTTGCACACTTCCTGTACACAGTGTCCCCCTGTGGCTGGCACGGTGGCTCCCAGTGCTGCCTGTCTCTGGCTCTCAGCCTTCTGGTTGAGTCTCTTTTCTTATCCACTATTGGTTCCTGCCTTGGCTGGCTTGGGTCTGCTAACTTAGTTACCTCTAGCTGCTGAGGTTTAATCGCTGCTGTCCTCTCCTCTGTTCCCTCTGTCCCTGTGGGTGTATGATGGAAAGAAATCCTTTAATGTGGTTTTAATTGCACTTCAGAATTAGGTGAAGGAATCCACCCTATAGAAATCATGCTTTATAAATGCCCTCCTGGGCTCAGGTCTTCTCTGGAACATTCTCAACAAACCCAGAATCTAAGCCTGAAGGATCCCAGCACATGGAGGTTTATAATTTATGACAACTGAAATCACCTGTCCATCACCTTGATTGCCAAACAACCTGCCCACTAGAACGGAGGGAGGAGGAGCTCACAGTGGGAGGGGTGCACCACAGGCTCCTACCCCGCCCCGCCCTGTATGCTGAGAGTATTTCACAGCTCCAGAGAAGGCAGGGGCCTTTCTTAACCAGACAAGGAGTCTGTCCACATTTGTCCTCCCCATGTCCAGTTTCTACCATGAGTCCTTGAAGCATCCATCAATTCATATTGTTCCCTTGCTTCCAACCCTCATCTCATTCAGGAAAATCCAAACATCCCACCTGGACCCCACGGCTCTGCACCATCTGGGTTCTGGCTCTCAGACGCTCCTCTTCTCTTGCCTCTGTTGGAGAGAAAAGGAGGGGGAATCTCTTTTCTCTCTCGCCAGGAGGGTCACTGCCAACACCTCTGTAACAGCAGAGAGGTGAACAAGAGGAAAGGATGACACATTTCTTATTAAGATTTTTATTTATTTATTTGAGAGGCAAATTGATAGGGAGAGAGGAGAAGGTGTTCCTGTGCATTGGTTCACCCTGCAAATGCCCACAACACCAGGATTGGGTCAGGCCAAAGCCAGGGAATTCAATCCAGGCCTCCCTTTCTCCTGGTGGTAGAAGCAGGACAGGTGGGCTCTTACTACGAGAAGACACAGTTGTTTTATTATGCAGAAATAAAAGATTCCCTTGCGGGGAAACTTCTGTTGGAGTTGAGATAAAAGAAGGAATGTATGTGCTTAGCAGACACGTTCATAAAGGAAAAGTACGGTCACCTCTTTTTTTTAAAGATTATTTATTGGAAAGAGTTACATAGAGAGAGAAGGAGAGGCAGAGAGGGAGAGGGAGAAGGAGGGGGAGGTGAGAGAGAGAGAAAGAGAGGTCTTCCATTCAGTGGTTCACTCCCCAGTTGGCCACAACAGCTTGAGCTGTGGTGATCTGAAGCCAGCAGCCAGGAGCTCCTTCTGGGTCTCCTATGTGTGTACAGGGGCCCAAGAACTTGGGCCATCTACTACTGCTATCCCAGGCCATAGCAGAGAGCTGGATAGGAAATGGAGCAGCTGGGTTTCGAACTGATGCTCATACAGGATGCTGGCACTGCAGGCGGCGGCTTTACCCGCTACGCAACAGAGAGGCAGAGGCAAAGAGAGAGAGAGAGAGGTCTTCCATCCGCTGGTTCACTCCTCAGATGGCCGCAATGGCCGGAGCTAAGCTGATCCAAAGCAAGGAGCCAGGAGCTTCTTCCGGGTCTCCCATGCGGGTGCAGGGGCCCAAGGACTTGGGCCATCTTCCACTGCTTTCCCAGGCCATAGCAGAGAGCTGGATCAGAAGTGGAGCAAGCAGGACTCGAACTGGTGCCCATATGGGCTGCCGGCACTGCAGGTGGTGGCTTTACTTGCTATGCCACAGAACCACAGAACTGGCCCGAGGTTGTAGTTCTTTGTTTGCTTAAACATCATCAAAGAGGCAGGTTCTGACTCAGTTTCAACACATGAAGTGCATAGGATGTGAATGGCCTTTCTTCTGACAGGTGGGCTTTCTGCTCTCTTTTCTGAACAGCCTGTCTTCTTTCTGCGAAGATTCTATTCCTAAAGTTTGCCTCTGCCTCCCTCACCTCTGTGCATGCAGTAGTTTCACCAGGAAGCCAGGACATGAGCTTGGTAAAGGTCTTTGGAGGTGGGTGGGCCTGGGTTCAAAGATCAGTGCACAGGTGAGCAGAGGGCCTTTTGCTTGCTTCATATCCCCTGGCTTGGATCTGAGATCAGAAGGCCCCGAATCTGTGTGTTCTTTGGGTGTGCATGTCAGTGCATGCTACAGCCCTTTCCCAACATGTGATGGTGTGTCAGCAGATGGGAGCATGTCTCCATCTTGCTTTTGAAGAACTCCGTCTCTAGAGTTCACGCAAAAGATGCCCACAGAAATCAAAAACTGTTTGGAAGAGATGCATTGCACACAAACACACAGACACACCAATTCACACTTGCTCTAAGTAACACCCACGGTTTTCTCCTGTTCCTGCAGGTGTCAGAAAATGGTCTAAGTCTCAATTTCAATACAAACAGAAAAACAATGTTACTGCCTGGGCAACCTGGCTTCTCCTGAGTCCTGGCTGGCAGTCAGCTTTCAAAGACACCTAGAGAGAACCACAGGCCACCAGAGCTTTGGTGGAAGCTGCCTGGCTTCCCCAGGATGCTCACAGCCTGGGGCCGGTGTGTAGCACGGTGGGTTAGGCCATGCTTGTGATACCAGCATCCCATATCAGAGGGCCACTTCTTGTCTTTGCTGCTCTGCTTCAGATTCAGCTTCCTGCTAATGTGCCTGAGAAGGCAGCGGTAGACATCTGGGTCAGGTGGCTTCTGCAACCCACATGGGAGACCCAGATGCGGTTCCTGGATCCTGGTTTCTGCCTGGCCCAGATTTGGCTCTTGCAGTCATTTGGAAAGTCATCCAGTGGATAGAAGATCTCTCTCTCTCTGTTGCTCTGCCTTTTGAATAAGTAAATCTTTAAAAACAATTCCAATAGGCTCATACCCTCAGAGTGTTTTATGCCTCCTCAAGCCACCTCACCTCCCTTCCTGAAGCAGGGACGATGTGCAGAGCTGGGCTGAGGGGGTGCTTCTGCTCCCAGCACTCTGCACACCCTCCCCCACTGTTGCATGTCTGTCATTCTCCCTGGACATCACCATTCTTCCCCCAGACTCCCCTACTGCCCCAAGAGTCTCAGGGGTTCTTCTCACTGGCTCCCTTTGGGCCTCAACTCTTGCTATGTGATCACTCCTTCCAGCCACACCCCATTCCATGAAGTTTTCGGAACCCGCCAAGGTCTTGCTCATACCTCTGCTCGTCTACAGCAGTGCACCCTAAATCCCAACACCCATTTCTGCCTCCCTTCCTGCCTGCCAGCCTGCCTGCTGGTCCCTGGACTCTCACATGGGTTTAAGCGGCCACCTCAGGGAAGCCTCATTGGATCTCCCCCGTGGGTGAGATGGAGACATTCATGGCTGAGATCCAGCCTGGCTGCTATTTGCAATCTGTGTTGCATCTCTGTCTCCTGCAGTCCTTGCACCTATCTGGGAGTGACCCTTACTGCCCATGCTGCTGCTGCTGCCCGATCTAAAGAGACAAGAAGTCTTGTTCTAGGAGCTGGGCTGGGACTCCAGCAGGGTTTCCGTGGACAGGAGGGAAGGAAGGAGGATGTTGCATTTGGACCCTTTGCAAGAACGAGTGCTGGAGAGCAATCAGTTCGAGGGGCAGGTTAGACCAGTTGATTAAAATACTGTATCCTCCACATCCAACTCTCTGTGTTCAGATAGGACAATGGAAACACCAAGAGGGACAACCAGGAACTGGTGTGCTGACCACAGCCTTGGACTTGGAGTGGCCATGTTGGACTTCTTGCCTTGAGGTTGCAGAAGGGACCCTGACTTGTCCCAGGGGAAATCCTGGATCAGGCTGAGAGACATAGGAGGGTGACTGGGGAGGTCACAGGGGAGAGGGGAGGAGAGAAGGGCATCAGGGCACTCATTTGGCCTGGGAGCCTGGGAAGGAAGGGGGCATGGCGGGAGATGGAACAGGAGTGGGCAAGTTCTGCCCTGCGGGCAGGACCAGGGGATCCTTGGGGACCTGGGGAGTCTCAGGGTGGACGTCTGGGTCAGGTGGCCTCAGTGATGGTGGGATTTAAGCTTGTTTTTTGAGGTTCTCCTGCTACTCCTTGCTATTTTTTAAAAAAGATGTTTATTTATGTGAAAGGCAGAATTACAGAGGGATGAGCAGGTGGGGAGAGAGTACTTGCATCTCTGGTTCACTCCCCAGATGGCTATAACAACCAGTGCTGGGCCAGGCCAAAGCCAGGAGCCAGAACTTCATCCATGTCACTCATGTGGGTGCAGAAACTCAAGCATTTGGGCCATCTTCTGCTGCTTTCCAGGCCAGTTGAATAGGAAGTGGAGCAACTGGGACACGAACCAGCACCTATGTGCTGGCATCACAAGCGGTGGCTATCCCTGCTATAGCTCCCCAGTCTCTGCTTTTGCCCAGCCTTCAGCTAGACTTTTACCTCTTCTGTTCCACACTCAGAGGCAGGGATCCCCTTGAGGGCCACCCCTGCCCTCATCTCTGCTGTTGGAAGTAGGCAAGGCTGGGTGAGCCTACCGTGCTTGTGGGTCAGGACCAGGACAGCAGGTGTACCTGGTGGAGAAGAGGGTGGAAGCTTTCGTAGTGGGGAGGAGAGGGGAAGGTGCACAGGGCCCTGTGTGGGGCCCAGTAGGAAGCACACAGCAAGGTCAAGTGGAACACCAGGAGCTATTTTAATGCTGGTGTGGGTCTAGGGAGATCATGCAGGGAGCAGGAGCTCCTGGGCCTCAGAACTTCTGGACGGTCACCACCTCGGATGCCCAGGGTGGAAGGGGTCACGGGAGGAAGCGGTATTGGGACTGGAGATGAGCGAGCTTCTTGACGGGGACTGCAGCTTCTGTTCATCCCTGAGAGTCATGTGTTTGCCTTGTTCCTGCGGAGAGAGAGGGGGCAGGCACTCCACCCTGACTCCACACAGTGGCCAGGGTCCCTCTGACCTGCTGCTCTGTGCAGGCTAGGGTGCGGGGCTGCCAGGGCTGTGCTCCAGGGAGTCCTCGGGGGATGTGTCGGTGGGGACTACAGGGCCACAGCCTCTTTGCTGTCCTGACCTGGGTCCCTGGTCCTGCTGTGTCTGAGCACATGGGGCTGCCATGAGACCTGACCCGCAATCCCACTCTGCTCTGGGGGCCAGGGCTGGAGTCTCCAGGCCGTGCTACCCTGGGGATGGGCCCTACTCTTCCCTCTGTGGGCACCCTGGGGTTCTGCAGGACTCTCCTTTGCTTATACCTTTTCCGCCTCTTCCTTCTTCTTCTTCCTGAGCCACAAAGCATAGCATCTGGGCCAGGAAACAGGGTGGAGGTGGGTCAGCCCAGGAGCAGGTGTGTCTTGCTTGGTGGGGGTGGTGCTCTGCTAGGGCTTGAAGAAGTCACTCACCCACCTCCAGCTAAGGCTACGAGCAGTATCGTGCTGATGCCCAGAGCCAACTTGTGGTTCCGCCGGTGCTTGGCTGAGGGGTGGGTTGGGAAGTGGAAGGGGAGCCAGGTGTTTGAAAGCCAGACAGGACCGTCTCAGCTCAGTCACCTACTCTGTGCTCACCTGGACAGGAGGGAGACGGGGTGCTGCTCTCTAGGAGGCAGACACACAGATCATGGTGGTGCCATGTCCAAGGGAAATGGGACAGGCTCCAGGGGAGGGGTGGGGTGAAGGCTAGGACAGCTGCTGAGCCCCAAGGGGTAGAGATCCTTAGGAAACAGGGCCTCTGAGCTGGACTTGGAAAGACTCTACATAGGGTTCACTTCCAATGGCCAAGGGCAAAACTGTTCCAGGTGGAGACCATGCTCAAAGACAGGTGCATGGAGCTGCCTGGTGCCCAGAGTGGCCACAGCTGGCTGTGGCTGGGCAGTCAGGGGCAGTACAGACAAGTAGGCACTAGGCCCTACAAGGAGGCTGGACATTATCTGGGGTGCTTGGGAGCCACAGTGGATGCTATGGGTACATTTGTTCCTTAAGAAAGGCTTTTCTGGTGGTAGTGAGATGGTGTCAGTGGCCCTGAAGGTTTGGGGCTTTTTGCAAGGATGTTGATTTTGTAGACCTTGGAGACGGATGGGTCTAATAAGGCTCTGAAGCTGGAGATGCAATGTCAGGGAATCCTAGCACTGCACCTTCCCCAGGGGAGGAGGCGGAGAGAAGCTCTGAGTTGGACCAGGAACTGGAGACAGAAGCAACAAGACCCTGAGGGTGGAGAACAACGACACGGAAGGCCAGAAGAGGGATGGAGGCCCCTGACCTGGGCAGAGGGCAGGGTCGTCACAGGAGAAGAAGTGAGTCCCGCAGTTTGCACACTCCGTGATCTCCAGTGGCGTGTGGATGTCTAGGAGAGGGACGGTGGGAGCTGTAGAGAGGCCAGGGCCCTCCTCCCTCGCCCAGGCCCAGTCCCCAAGCACACTCACCACAAGATTCATTGCAGGCTGCTTGGGAGGTTGAGACAGTAGAGAAACTGAGGCACTGGGGAGGCAGAAGGAGCCAGGAGGGCTCAGGGTGTGAGCAGGACACAGGGCGGTACCCAGCAGGTGGGCAGGGATGGAGGCTCCTAGGAAAAGCCTGGGAGGAGCTGCTGAGAGAGGTTTCTACAGGCCATGGGTCTTGATGGGCAGCAAAGGGCTGGGGCAGCCCCACGTCTCACCCCTTTCCTTCAGCTCCCCCGACCTCTCAGTCAGCTTCTCAGCCAGGAGACTCTTGTACATGTGGACTTCTTCCAGCAGTAAGGGTTTGTCTGGATGGAGCAGAAGGGAGAGGGGGCTGCACCATTCGGCTTCCTCAAGCTTGGGGTTTCCAACAGAAATTCTGCAGGGCACACAGCTCTCCTATGTCTGTCTCCACCCTTCACAATCCTCCCAGCTCCAGGGCCACAGGGACTCTGGCAACTCCCTCGAGGGCTGATCTAGGCTGCAGGGCCTGGGACACTGGGCTGCCTCACCATCCCGCCACTTCTTAATGGCTTGGTCTAATTCATTGAAGAATTTGGCTGTTGCCTCTTCCAAATGGTTCCGATCTGAGGGCAAGGAATTGGGCAGAGGGTAAGGGCCCAGACCAAGTAAAGGGGCCAGGCCCGCCTCCCTGGTCTCCTGGCTGTGTCTGACCAAGGTATGCAGTTTTGGCCAAGGTGTCCTCCTCCAGGAATAGGGACTGCAGGCTTTGGGAGAGCTCTGCGGGTGGCCCCGGGGAGCCCCAGAGGATCTGCAGGTCGTAGTTCAGCAAGGCCGGCAGTTCCGGCCAGCAGCGGAGGCAGCCCTTCCCGCCGGCCGTGGGCAGGAGACAGGTGAGCAGAAGCAGCAGCATCTTTTGGGGTCTCCCCACTGTGTCCTGCCGCCCTGCTCGACGGTTCCTCCTGGAACGCCACGCACCTGGAATGCCGCGTGCGTGTTCCCCTAGCAACCACATTCTCTTGCTGGAACAAAGGTAGATTCCACAGGGTAGGTGAGGGCCAGCTGTGGGGAGGCTGCACTCTGGCGTCAGACCCAGCTGGGAGCCTCAGCCCGTGGTTCTGTTACTGAGAGCTCAGATCCACATCACAAGGACAGGGTTTGGGGGTGGAGGAAAGAGAGATTTTAATCTGTCGACAAATGAGAGGGTAGCAGACCTCCGGGTCTCAAGAACCGCCTAAAAGAGAGGGTTTGGGGTTTTTAAGAGAAGCTACGGGGGCGGGGAGGGTCAGGAATAAGGGCAATGAAGTACAGGGCAGCTGTATGTTGGCCTACAGCCCAACACCAGATGCTTGTGCGTTCCTTCTCTGTTTCGTACTCTGTTCATCTGCAGAAGAAGCTGAGATGAGGAGTAAGGCAACGTGCACCTTAGGGTGTGGGCAAGTGGGAAGTCAGCCGCCAGCCCCGAGGCGTCAGCAAGGTGCTCTGCTGTTGTGGTGGCCTCGTGGGCTTCAGTCAGCCTGGGGGCTACTTGCAGGTGGTAGCCACCTTCTTTCCTGGACCTAGAATTATCCTGCTCAGACCCGCGATTCCCCTAACTGGAAACTTCAAGGCAATACTGCAGAAGCAGAAGACCTCACGGGTCTGGTGACTAGAATCTTGCAGGTCCGACCGAACTGCTCACTCTCTCAATTCAGAGAGTTAAACTAAGGGGCGATGGCTGGGAGACTAGGGCCTGAGGGCATCCAGGGATCTGCATTCAAAGCACTGTTTTGGAGCTTGGCTCCAATTCCTCCTCTGAAAATGGGTTCCTTAATGCCACGCGGGAAAAACTTGGGTTGTCCCAAGGCTGCTTCTCCCCTATCCACGGGTGCTTTATTTTCCTCAGGCCTCTCTCCTGCGTGTGGGCTAGTTTCTAACTTCCTGCCTAACTGTGACTAAGGAGACATGGTCAGCTGTGGTCCCACAGGCTCACTGTCAATGACAGAGACTCTCTTGTCACTCAGAAAATTCTGAGGATTTGAAGCTTATCTCCCAGGAACTTGGGACGAAGGATAACCAAACTCTTTATTATACAGCAACAGTGCATCAAGTCACTGTTGCTCATTAGTATTTCATCATGCCTTCACATGGATGCAGGCATGGTAATGCTTCTGGAGCCTTCTGGAATCTTCTGGGACAGGCTTGATTTCCCAGGAAGGACCTTTTTTCCTTGGCAGGTGCTGAATTGTGGAGGTATTTGGACAAGTGGACATCATAAGGGCATCTGTTTTAGCAAAGTAGCTCACTCAGTTAAATCATGTTAGAGGTCATTGAACCTATGCATCCTGTCTGATTGGTACAAGGAACCTTGGCTGAGAGAAGGTTTGATAAATCTAACACGCTGTCTATAGAAGGAGGTTGGATTTAGTTGTTTGATTCCTTTTATGAAAAAAATTAGCACCCAGAATTGAGCCTATCATAAGTTAAATATTCATTTCATTTTCTTGCTGGTTAACACTTGTGCCTTGAAATGTTTTGTTGTATCTACTTAGAATGATCAATGGGAATGCCTAGGGGGGTTTCTCCTGCAGACCTGGTTGGGAGAGAACATTAAAATTGCACGAACCTACTCATGTCATTTTAATGAGGATCAAAAGAATTTTGGCCGGAATTGGGAGGAATTTGAAGTGGGCCGGTGCTCCTGGGAAAGATTGGGATTGTGGCTCTTGAGGGTTGTGGGAGGCAAGGCCAAGGATCTGGGGGTCACTTGCACTCCTCCCCCACTTCTGGGCAGAGACGTTGTCTTTCACAGACAGGGGCCATGGTCAGAGGGCAAGACAAAGGGTTCTGGGTCTTGACCAGGAGGACTAGCCAAGACCCAGAATGGACACTGACTGTGGTTCAAGTTCATATCTGGGGCCCTTGACCTTGGCACCAACCACCCCACCCCTGCTCCTTTTTTCTTGCATTCTTTTTTTTTTTTTTTTAATTTTCTATAGGCAGAGTGGACAGTGAGAGAGACAGAGAGAAAGGTCTTCCTTTTGCCGTTGGTTCACCCTCCAATGGCCGCTGCGGCCGGCGTACCATGCTGATCCAAAGGCAGGAGCCAGGTGCTTCTCCTGGTCTCCCATGGGGTGCAGGGCCCAAGGACTTGGGCCATCCTCCACTGTACTCCCTGGCCACAGCAGAGAGCTGGCCTGGAAGAGGGACAACCGGGACAGAATCCGGCGCCCTGACCGGCACTACAACCCGGTGTGCCAGTGCCGCAAGGGGGAGGATTAGCCTAGTGAGCCGCAGCGCCGGCCCTTCTCTTGCATTCTTCCCATGAGATAGCTGCCCAGCTCAGCCCCCACCTCCACCAAGCCCACTCCTGCCTCTTTCCCGGACCCCAGCGGTTTCCACACCCTCTGAGCTCTGTCCCGCTCTGTGATTGCATTTTTCACTAGACAGTTAGTGGAAGGCCAACTTGAGTCCCGCTTAGTGTTGTTGATTTAAACTGCTATTGGACTGTGGTATAACCTAAGTTTTACCCCAGAGCTTGGGGTGCTGTGATTTGGATGTGACTTGCAGGAGCCACCCCAGGGCTCCTGGGCTGTAAGTTCAATGTCCAGTATGGTGGTGTGGAGGGGGTGGAACCTCTAAGGGATAGGCCTAGTGGAAGGTGGCAAGGTCACAGGGCACCACCCTTGGAAGGGATTAATGCTGGTCTCAAGGACTCAGTCCCTGGGAGAATGGGTTGCTACAAGGGAGCCTGGCCCTCCCCTATGCCTCTCCTTGGCGTGCTCTGCTTACCACGTTGGCACAAGCCCACCATGATGTCATTGCTACGTTGTGATGTAGCCACATGGCCCTTGCCAGAGCCACACATGGCAGGAACATTTAAAACCTTAACCTCGGGGACTGGCGCCATTGCACACTAGGTTAATCTTCTGCCTGCGGTGCTGGCATCCCATATGGGTGCCAGTTCTAGTCCCGGCTGCTCCTCTTCCAGTCCAGCTCTCTGCTGTGGCCCAGGAGGGCAGTGGAGGATGGCCCAAGTGCTTGGGCCCCTGAACCCGCACGGGAGACTGGGAGGAAGCACCTGGCTCCTGGCTTTGGATTGGTGCAACTTCAGCCATTGAGGCTACTTCAGGAGTGAACCAACAGAAGGAAGACCTTTCTCTCTGTCTCTCTCTCACTGTCTGTAACTCTGCCTGTCAAATAAATAAATAAAATCTTTAAAAAAAAAAAAACCCTTGACCTCAATAAACTGCTTTTATTTATGAAGCACCAGCCCTAGGGGCATGTTGTCATAGCCACCAAAACATGAGTTGTGACATTGGGCATTGCCTTTTTTTGCATGGTCTCAGCTCCTCAGCCTCTTCTGATGGTGGATACAATCCAGTCCTTAAGGCTAGCTGGGCTCACCTCCCCTCTTTGTTCCATACAATAGGTCCTTTCTCATGAGCACCCTTGGACACAGGGGTGGGACCTTCCAGATGTGTGGCAGTCAGATCTGTACTCCAAGGTTACTGACAGGTGAGGACAATGGCTGCATGTATGCTGATAAGAGCAGCTATGAAGGGACAAGGCTCCAGCCCCCAGGTGGGGCATCTGTTTTTCTCTGGAGAACTAGGAGCAGACGGAGGTCCCCCAGGCATGAGCTGCCTCCACCTACCACAAAATGCTGCAGGTGATTGGTGTTTGCTGTGGTGGGGGGAGATAGGGGTGCTGTGGCTTTGGCTGGGGATGAGCAAATCCTTGCTCCTCTCTGAGCTGCCCACAACGCTGCTGTGGTGAACACCTGTGGTCAGGAGCTCAAGGCCAGTAGCAGGATGTTAGCTACCTTTGAAGGACAAATGGGACTCCTGGCCCAGACTTGCTCACTTCCTTTCCCATAGCACGTGCTCGCCTTGTCTGGGCTGGATGAGGCTCCTGACCTCCAACCCACCTTTCTCAGGACAGGTGATACCACTGAGGGCCTGGAGCCTCCTGGTCCAGTTGCCACCCCTTTGTCTGGGCAGGCAGGGCTGGGCACGGTATCCTTTGGACGGGCAGAACAGTGCAGCCACAAGAAACACTGTCACATATGCAGAGGGTTGCAGATCCTGCCTCTTACTGATCATACCTGTTTCCTCCCAGGCTGTGGGTGTGGCATTTCCCACAGAGCTCATCTCCCATCCACACACTCTTCTGCAAAGGGAACTGGTCACTCCATGAGGAGGTGGAGTCTGGGAGTGGACATTTAGTGTAGTGGTTAAGACCTGGTTAAGAGGGCCAGTGCTGTGACGCAGTAGGTTAATCCTCTGTCCGCAACACTGGCATCCCATATGGGTGCTGGTTCTAGTCCCGGCTGCTCCTCTTCCAATACAGCTTTCTGCTGTGGCCTGGGAAAGCAATAGAAGATGGCCCAAATGCTTGGGCCCCTGCACCCATGTGGGAGACCAGGAAGAAGCTCCTGGCTTCATACTGGCTCAGCTCTGGCCATTGTGGCCATTTGGGGAGTGAATCAGTGGATGGAAGATCTTTCTCTCTGTCTCTCCCTCTCACTGCCTGAAACTACCTTTCAAATAAATAAATAAAATCTTTTTTTTTCTTAAAGACTTGGCTAGGGATGCTCACATCCATTATCAGAGTACCCGAGTTCGAGTCCTGGCTACATTTCCAATTCTAGCTTTCTGCTAATGTGCATTCTGGTGGGCAGCCTGTGATGGTTCAAAGTACTTGGGTCCCTAGATTGACGTCCTGGCTTCTGGCACAGTCCCTGCTGTTGGTGCCATTTGGAGCCTGAACTGACGGAAAGATGATCTCTGTTTGTCTCTTTCTCTCATCTTTCAAATAGAAATGAGCAAATATCTGAAAAGGAGGTAGAGTCTGAATGTTGTCCCTTTGACCTGGCCTTGGTGACTTTTTTGGTTAAGGAGCAGAATGCAGGAGAAGTGACTCTGTGACTTCCAGAGCAGGATTGTAACAGCTCTGTAGCTTCCCGTGGACCTGCTGGGTGT